ACCATTTTTGTTGCCCTCCACTGGACTCTGGAAAGGATCTCAAGGCACTGAGAATCACTTATATAAGCAGTCCTGAAAAACCCATCAGGCTCCAACATATAGGGTCAAACTGAACCTCGGAGTTGATGGATGCAACCCCACTGAGGATCAGGGAGCTGCACCCATTGACACCAGAGCTCAGTGTGGTCCTTAGAGCTGAACTCCAGGAAAGAGGTATAGCTAGCAGACATGATCAGGGTTTTGAGTCTGTCCCGGTTGAATCACAAATCTTCCCTTGAAGAAATATCCAATAAGGAGATGCTAGCTCTTTGTGCCATTCAAACATTCCTCTCCAAAGACAACAGGGCTTAGACACCTCAACACACATCAAAGAGCAAAGCCTGGAATAGAAGAGGGCCAAGTGGCAAGTCTACTCTGACAGAAAGGAGCAGGTCAAGAATAGTAGGCTCAATCCAGTGCCGTGCCAAGTCTTCCACTCCCTCCCAAACAAGCTTAACAAACCCAACACTCCCCAGAATCAGGTCCATGCAAAGCAAAGGGCTACGATCGATGGCTTTTGGGAGGCCTCGAGGAATATCACATGCATAGTTTCGGGAGAAGGCAGTGGGAGACAAGTTCAGATATCCATGAAAAAGAGGTGATGTTGCCCTCTAGCGGTTATAGCCTCTTCAGGTCGTAAACCCTAATACTGCTGCTCAGGCGTGGAGCGTCACGCTTCATCCAGAACCACCCCACTATTATCATCATTAGACTCCAAGAGACTTACCAGCTTTTGTGCTACGACGTTATAGTGACTGAATGACTGGATCAGGGCCACAAAACAGACTTTACAGCCAGCTGGGAAATAATAAGAGACACATTATCACTGTGATCATGCGCACACATATCATCATCATTATCAAAGTGTTTCCAATGCAGCAAAGGCAGAGGAAAAAATGAGATACCTAAACCCTATCAAAAGAGGCCCGAGGGAGGGTGAAGAGGCTGTGAAGAGCCTTGTACCATCTGCTGGAGCGTGGCTGCAGAGTTCAGATGGTTTTAAAACATTTAAGGAGATTTTTGCCCAGTAAAGAATTTAAAAAATGGTTTAAAGAGGAGAGAGACACTTCCCTTTCTTCCCTCCACCTCTGCTGCTGGGAGAACCCTTGGCATTTCTGCTAGTGGACAGTCTGTCCAAATAGCAGCTTTGAAATAAAGACAGTGGCGCACACTGTCTTTTCCAATGAAGTGCTAACAGCTCTTGGCCTCTCTAGTTTGGCTCTTCTGGGGCACAGACACACGGGCCTCATTTAAAGCTCGTCATGACAGATTTGATAATAAATGAGAAACTGTAATAAATAAAAGTCTCATGAAGGTGACAGACAAATGCAGGTTTGGGATGACAAGGGAATCCAAAAGCATTGCAGCAGCAGCCATCAGAAATGCCATCTTCAAGTTTGGGAGCACGTGGAGCTAGTTCTTCCCACCAGAGGTGGTGAGGAGCTACCAAAAAGGAGTTCACTATCATCCCACAAAGTGTATGTCCTGCTATGCCAGATGCATATGGCAAGATATTTAGTTTCTGGGAATAGAAATAAAATTCCTCAGATCCAAAACATGTCGTGGTTCAAGTCAAACCATGTCCCAGCGCTGCCATGGCCAATCCCAACAATCAGCTCATTGTCAGCATTGGCCCTGGGAAGGACCAGGGTCTGCACACACATGCCACACTTGTCATTAAAGGAAGCATATAATCCAGCCACAAAGATGTTCCACATCATATGCAACTCTCCACTATATGTGGAACATCTCTGTGGCTTGTTTGCCATTTGATGGCCCTATAACTGGTCTGAATGTGTGGCATGCTGCAATTTATTTCTGGTTTCTGGTCAGGACTGAAGGGTACTGATACATAATTCCTACCAATGCAAGTGTTCATATAGCACCCAGCACAGTTAAAGGTTGAGTAACTTCTTTATCTGCATCACTGATGCAGTTAAACAAGAGAACAAGATGTGGTGCAATGACTGCCTATCACAGGGGAACCTCCAATAGCCAAGGTGAGGCTGAAGTGCTGGGCAGGAGCTCAGTCAGAAGGAAGGGGCAAGAAAGCCAGAGTGGAAAGTCTGCACAACCCCAAGGTCAAGATGCACTTCTGTGGCCCTCATTTTCGAAACACTCAGCAAGTACAACACGAGTTTGGTGAGATCTGCCCTTCAGCAACACCCCTGCCAATCGTACGGTCTCAGAGCAAGCTACACAGCCACTTAGGCTGAAAAAGCCAGTCCACATTATTCACCCTGCACATAACCACATGGCCAATGTACTGAGCCAGACAGCAGCCTGCTCCAATACCCTGCCTTGCTCACCCCAAGCTCCCTCCTGAATGGAAGTATATAGTGATGTTGGCCCTGCACCACAGATCAGCTCTCCAGCCTTGCCTCTAGATCAGATCACCTGTAAGGGCCAGTGGGCGCATCTACACGAGAGGCTTTAAGGCACATTAGCCCAAATTTAAGGCGTGTTAGGGAGTGCATCTACACATGCACGCCCATAATGTGCTTTAAAAATTGTGATTTGGGGCTAATCACGCCTAAATTTGATACCTGCAAATGCAGATATCAGTATGGCACTGATATCTACACACCTTCCAGTCCCAAGGAGTCAGCGGGTTTTACAGCATTCACTTACCTGTGCAACATTCCTGC